AAATTCTGTTCAAGAATAACAGTTTCAATGTATTTGTGAAAAGGAGGTAAATCACCTGTCTTCAGATTTCAGAGGTTATCTTATTAAGGTGATGGGGGCAATGTTGTTTAGTTTGTGACAAAAGTAGTGATCTTACTCTGTAGACGAACAGCATAGTAAACACCTAGAAATCTGAGAATTTGTAACTAAGCTACAAAGGAAAGCTGGGAGAGCTATTTGTTGTTAGCACTAGTATTGTTATCTTGAAGCAAAAGGTTTGTTTGTTAAAAAAGTTGTTTTCAGACCTTGTAGGGATCAATTATATGGTTTGAGACTGTAAATCCAAGTTTGTTGAATACAGACATGGAGATGCACCCAGTGATGTTAAAACCTCCTGAGGCCAGAACACTCTTTGAGAGAGAGAGTCCCAAAAGCTTGCATGACAAAGAGTACAGTAGCGAGACCAGATTTCATTACATAAATGGAATAATGATCCATAAATGGGAGAATGATCTCAACATTTGAAACTACCAAAAACTAGTAGAAAATTACATTACATTCAACCTGTCCTACAGATGCTCACTTTGGCCTCTACTAAATTTAATGGAGTATTAATGGAATATTAGAACAAATTATTTAGCTCTACACACCAGAGAAATCTAAAAATGGAACTGGTATTTTATTTAGAAAAGTCACTAAGAAATCTGATGAACTCCTATATTTACAGTGTTTGTTATTATACACACACGCACGCACACACACACACACCCCCTCATGTACAATCAGCTAACAGGAGTATTGCTGCTGCTAATTTCACAGGGAAAAACTATTTGATGCTACATGATACAAGATGCTTCATGATTCTCTCTAATGTATTAAGATAAACTGTGTCTCATATACAGCAGGTATGATTTAAAAAATATGATTGTTGACAAGCTGTATATTAATTCTAACCAGAGACACAGTCAGGACTAAACAATTTTCTTTTTCCAATAAAAATTAAGTGCAGCAACATTGAGCTGTGCCCAGGGAAAACGGTGAACTTGATTACCTGTAACACTCTTCCTGCTCTACAGACATGACATGTGAACAGGTACTTAACATTATTATTTTGCTAGCATTTTTTTAATATTTGTTCATATTATTATGTGGCAAATTTTTCATGTGTTGTTGCCTCAGCTATAGCCATAAAAGATCCATATGCCTCTACTCTACAACCAAAGCTTACACAGGTGAGAACTCACGTGCAGACACACATCTAGTCTGGGAGTAGCTGCCGTGTGTTCATTCCCATACATGCTTTTAAGATGCAACAAAGACTCTGCAGTGTAAATGAAATGTCATTCATGCCACTTAATTGTTGTTAATGCAATATTTCTTATATTTGAGTGACACACAAAAATAAGGTTGCTAAAGGATAAGAGCTCTCTGTATACAACTCAGATGCACAAGCATATAATTTCATAAGAAAAACAGATTCTTAAAAGATCAGTGAGGACATCAACTTTCTTTTTTCTCAGATAGAGTGCAAGGTAGATCAATTAATAGAACTACTGAAGCATGCTACTTTCCCTTTGGTAGCTCTAAAGGCAAAAGTCAATGTTACCAGGAAAATAATTCATGTATGAAACCTGAGCACACAGGTATTGAGTAACTTGAGTTTCCATCACTTTGTTATACCCACATTAATATCCTGTGACTCAAGAGTCGTGATTTTGCCTTTTTTCTTTTAATTTTTTATTATTTTTTTTTTTTTAGTTGGACTATTCAAATACCTGAAGCCCTGATAGTATCTGGTGCTGGAAAATCCAGACAATGACCTACCACCTGCAAAACAACTGCCAAGTGATCAGAACAGGCAATAATCTGCCTCACCAAATTAGGTGGTGAAAGAAGGCAGCCATACAATTTTTGCATCAATACAAACAAACAAACAAAAAAATACAATGCTTTCAACTGCGTATGGAATACAACCACACAAAGGACCTAACAGGACCAACTGGAAGGGTCTAATTTTGCCATCTGTGACAAAGATGAATTTTGCAATCACACTTCTGGATACACTTAGAACTCCTTTAGGTAGGTGCCTTCTGAAGAATGTCTTTTAGGTTCAAAACATAGAAATGATCTTCCCAACCACACCTGACATTGACATATGTAAAATCTAATTCTCAGAATAACCTCCTACACACGACAGTACTTTTATGGTTGCATCTTTACAAAACCATGCCTCTTTCTTCTGGAGACAGAATGGACATTAGTGCAAAACAAGAGTCTGTAACAAGCAGTGTGAGAGCCTGAAGAATCTTAAGCTGTAGCAATAAAGGACTGAGAGATGACCTACAAAACCTAAAGCACAAGGACTTGAGACTAGTTGAGACTAGTTTTTTAATATGATAAAGTATGTATTTGCTGATGGCCAATCTTAGGTAAGTTAAGTTACATAACTATAATTTAAAACAGGAATAAAAGCACATTGAGGTAAGAATGCCAATTCAAATCTATGTGCTTAAATTAGTAACTGATCACCTGTATATTGCCCGTAAGTACAGACTGAAGATTTACCTCTTGAAAAACAAGACACCAACAGACAAACTCAGGATATTTATGCTTGCCATTCTGATAAAAAATAAAATGCTATTACTTTTTTTCAAATCCTCTTATATAAGTGTCAAATGCTAAAGTAACTATTATTGTGATATCACAGGCATCTAAAATCTTTCTTCCCACAAACAATGGTCACTTATGAGCATACCCTTTCTTACATGTCTGCAAAACCACTGGACAATTTGTGCTTTTTTGTAGAATAGCTTCACTTCAGCATGATAGCCATAGTAGATTTGTAAGACAGAATTTCATATGAGCTCCAGCTGTTTTTATGTTCCATCTGAAAGGATTATCCTAAGGAGAACAAGGCAGGCTGAAGATGCTAAAACACCCCTTCAGACTCTGCTATTGCCATCTTTGGTGGCTTTGTCCCCTAGCAACTGGCAAGTAACTGGCACAAAATCATGTGACAGTTTTTGTTAGTTGAGTTTCATACCACCCAGGTTCAACCAACTCAGAGTTCATCTCTACAGAAGTTTCAGGAAGAAGTATTTACTCAAGACACTGAGACCACCATGGTTTGGCCATATATTTTGCTCTTAACACATAAAGACAATTTAAAATTAAGAACAAGTAAGTTTTACTCAGTTAAAAGACGAAGCTGTGCATTCTCCTGTGTCTGCCCAAGGTATGCATATCTGATAGCACCATTATAGCCAGCCCTGCTAATATGTTGCTTGGGACCACCGACACAGCACAGCGCAGCATACTATGAAGGTCTTGGCCACATCAGCAGCTGGAACATTGGTATGCAACCAGCAGCACCATGCGGAAATATCAGCATTGGTACTGGAAGCTGCATTAGTCAACCCACACAATGAAGGGACATCTGACGTAGGTAGGGCTACACCATACTCTCAGTAGCATCAGCAGGCCTTTTAGAAAGCACCCTATCTCAGGCCCAGACATTTAGAGAGATGCCAAGGATGCCAAGGAGCTGGGGGGGTGGGGTGGGTGTTTTGGTTGGCTGGTATTTTTCATTGGTTTGTTTGGGTTTTTTTTTGCTTTTTAACTCCTTCTCCTAATTCCCTCTGAGGTGATCAGTGATAGTGCAAGGGAGAAGACGGGAATCACAGAAGGGGATTGTGTGCATGTGGGGAAGAGAGCTAGCATCAGTGTCAGAGAGCTGTGAGATCAGTTTATACTGCAATTTGGTAATACAGCCAAGTTCAATACAGGAAAATACTGTAAGAGAGCTAAATATTGTTAATGTAGCAGCTGGTAGTATTTAACTATGCATAACATTCTACAGGAAACCCATCAGCAAATGTTTCTGTTAAATTGTAGTAGTAATAACAATTTAAAAAGAAACACGACTTTCAAACTTATGTAATACACATTTGAAACCAACACCCTCTGCTGAGCATATAGCAACAAGTCAGCAGTTTCCAAAAATGAGTATCATTGCTTACAGCTGTGTGGAAGAGTAGTCTTACAAGCAGCAAGATGTTGTTATTCTGAGGTTCATGGCAACTGCCTAGCAGGAACACAGTGTTGGTATTTTGCTGCCAGAAAGCAAATTATCAGATACAGGTATTTCGCAGCAGAGGAAAACAAGTAATTGTTAAAATTAACTGCATGTTATGCAGCTCCTACTAGTAACTACACAGACAAGCTAACTACATGGACTAGATAATTCACCTGTTCTTACTACATTCAGTGTTGAAACTCAATAACACCACTGTTGGGTATTGTTTGGTTGGCTTTCTTTTTTTATTAGGAAGAATGCAGTTTTCGTCATTTAAAATGGCTAAGATGTTCATACCATTCTTTGTAATGGCTGGATCTGAAAAAGATAGGTGTTGAATGTGATTTTTATAATATCAAGGAGCAGACAAATACATGGAAAACTTAGTTCTACAAAATACATTCAAGCTGATCTTCCAATAACATCCCTTTTGTCAATGACATTAAATTAGCAGAGAACCTTTCCTTCGTGACCTTCAAATAATATCCCTTTTTGTCAATGGAGTTAAATTAGCAGAGGGTTTTTCATAACATTAGAACAGAAAGAACCTAAAAGTAAAGGGAAGCAAGAAAAACAACACAACCACCAGTAAAGTGCCAATTTTTACTGCTGCGTAACTGCAGTTAGTATTTAGTAAAATGGTGCTATGCTGAGATTACTTATTTCCTGCTAAGCTCCTTTCACCTGACAATCTAAAAAAAGATTCTAAAACTGAAAGCTTAACAGCAGTAACTTTCCTCACAATGTATCTTGCATGAGGCTTGTTCCTTAAGCTACTGATCATTTCTCAGTATGATGTGCAGAGCCTTAACAGTGGACTTCTAATAAAAATTACTAGAAATTTTCCATATCCCTGAGCCAGTAACATACCTTTTTCCATATGTTTTATAACTGTGATACTGTGAAATACTGGTAGCATTTGGCACAAATCGGGTAAGTGACTCACCATCGTCTAAAGGAGCCTCTTCCTCCTCACAGGGAGAAGGAAGGAGAGGTTGTAGAGGTTCCATGTTGATTATGAGTTGCTTGTTCCAGGAGGGAGAGCTGCGACTCTGGGTAATGCTGGTTCTAAAAGAATGGGGAAAACAGCATCAGCTTATTCACAAGGAAGCAACTTAAGTCCAATATGTGTCATCTTAGAATCATTTTGCATAAATTACACTAGGCCTTGAGCTACCATAACAAGCTTTGCACGCTGAACACTTCTTTAAACCATGTTATGCTGAACTCTCAGCAGCTATAAATCTTTCAATATCTGAAGTGTAAGAGAAGGTTTTGTGCTGGTTTACTTCCTTTTACACAGCCTGACTCCTCTTCATCTTACATAGGATTTCTGCATGTTGCTCCTCTCCCTGCTGCACAGTACACATCAGCATTCGGCTTCAAGGAAGGTGAAGGTAGAAAGAGTACAAAACGTTTTCCTCTTGTTGTTGCATTGCCTCCAGGAACAATCCCCCAGGGAGGATTTGTTATGGTTTGAGCACTGCAGACGAAAGACTAAAGCAGGAACAACTGCATCTTCACTGTCTATCTCTTAACACATACACACCGCTCTCATTCTCACCCACCCTAGACACTCTCTCTGCGCCATGCCTCCAGGTGCTCAGGCTGGTTTTCTTTCTTGTCTTAGTTGGTTTTAACAGGCTTTCCTCGTAGCAGGTGTTGAACTTTCTCAGGGAAATTTGAGAAATGCTGTTGATTCACTTCAGTCATGAGGCTCATTAGACTAAAATCACATTACTGAAAATGCAAAATGGCTCTTTAGAATAAGTTATCTAAGACTTACATGATACAGGCCTGAAGCAAGAGTCCTGCAATGAATCTGAACCATTACATTGTAACATATTTACTTTTGATAACAGCAAAGATGAAAGGGAAGAGGATTTAACTTGACTATACATAGGTATAGTGCTGAAGTTTCACAAAATGCATTTCAAGTTTGCACAGTCTCAAAATTACACATAGATTAACAAACTCAACAAAGTACCTATGCAAGTGAAAAGAAGGGACTGTGTGTTGCTGAAGGTTTAAGTAAACCTGTGATCCATGTCCTATTCTAGGTCACATTACATGTCATTAAATATTCTGTGGGGATATACAAGCTTTCTTCCTCAACTGCCATGATTCCTTGCTTATTAACATATGCCCAAAGCTACTTACGTCCACTTTCGCATTCTGTAAGCAGTCTCTAATAACTATTTTGTTTAAATTTTCACTATCCAAAGAAGTTTTTCAGATTACTGTAACTACAAGCATTCCAACTCAACGGTACCTCCAAGAGCTTGTTACACAACCCCTCGATCTTTGTGCTTGCTGTAAAGAGCTAAAAAACTAGTCCAAAATAGAAGCTGTGCTATGGAGTACACACAGGGCTCCTACTCCATATACTCCTACTCCATATTTATTTACCAAGATCCCTCCTTCAGGCATGGTCTGGAAGCAAAATATTAAATCATTCAGTGTGTATTTTTCAGAAGAACTTGCCACTGCATTAACGCTGCATGACTCCAAACTCGGAGAGATCTTCAGTCTGCAGTCCTTGTAATAGCCAAACACGAAGACACTGAACAGTAACTTCCTCACAACTGCATGTTTCTTTCTCAATGCAGCCTTGATACCACTGAATTGAACTTTATATAGAAATAATTTATATATACATATATATACAAAATATATACATATATATACAAAAAATACATATATTTACCTTCAGTCATATCATCCAGATGTTTTGCATCTGTAAAACTACCATTTCCCACCCCAAAATTTTCTGTCATAGAGTAATTTGTTTCTAAAGCCTGCTTTTCTTTTAGCTATTTTCTATGCTTTTTTTTTTTCTTCCTCCTTAGTAGTAGCTGGTGCAGCGCTGTGATTTTGACCTTCGGCCTGGGAACAGCGCTGATAACACCAATGTTTTTAATTGCTGCTCAGTAGTGTTTACTCTGACCAAGGACTTTCTGAGTCTCATGCTCTGCCAGGGAGGAAGGGAAGCTGGAAGGAAGCAGAGAAAGGACACCTGATCCAAACTAGCCAAAGAGGTATTCCATACCACAGCATGTCATGCTCGGTATATAAACTGGGGGCAGTCACCCGGAAGGGCTAGATCACTGCTCAGGTTGGGCTAGGTATCAGTCTGTGGGTGGTGAGTGGTTGTATTCTCTTCCCTTGCTATTTTGCTTACCATTATTATTATTGGTAGTAGCAGCAGTGACTTGTGTTATACCTTGGTTACTGGACTGTTCCTATCTCAACCCATGGGAGTTACGTTCTTTCGATTCTCCTCCCCATGCCTCCAGGAAAGAACTTCTTGATTTTCAATCAGACTGTGTTATGAAAAACTATCAAATACACTTTTAAACATGCCCATACACATGCACAGAATCTTTCAAAACCAGGCAAGATCTACGAATGAAATAAGAACATACATTTCTGTCATGATCATGTAATAACATTATACGTATAACCCACATAATAATCTAAGCTACTTATCTAACTGACTGATTAAATCCACCTTCATGTATGGCTTCACACATATTTCCCAAGGCTTCCATACTTCACTGTGGAAGCTCAGAATGACAGACATTACATCTCACAGTAAAGGAAAGAGAATTTCCTTGAAGAGAACAATAATCTTCCTTAGTCCTTAAACTTTAATATCAAACATGAAGACATACCTGTGAACTTCAGGAGGTTCCCTTTGGATTTTAGAGCTTGCCTCCACAACCTCTTTGGCTACTTTTCCGCTGCATTAAAACATGAAATAAATAAGGGAATGCAAAGCACTATACATACATGAACAATTAACTTACATTCAAAAGTGGAAAAGTAAAAAAAATAAAATAAAATTGTATGTAGTGAAAATACAATGCTGCGGATTAAAAATGCGGCTGACCGCTTGTCTCCAAAGCTACTAAAAAAAACCAACCTTTTGTAGTAGCGCAGTAGGTGCGACTGGACTGACCCACTAGTGCTCCCCTGGTCCATAACTGCCCAGTTACAGGGGTCATACAATCTCTGACTGGGCCACACATCCTTGTTTTTATAGAAACTTCATCAAAATGGAGCCCTATTCTGGTGACACTGATCTTTGACAAAAGTCTGCACAAACCCTCCAGTTTATTTACTAAGTGATGCTAAAGAGGTAACAGCAAATTTTCGAATCCTGACTTAGAATATAGAATCACAGAATCATAGAATAGTTAGGGTTAGAAAGGACCTTGGGCTCATCAAGTTCCAACCCCCCTGCCATGGGCAGGGACACCTCACATTAAACCATGTCACTCAAGGTTTTGTCCAACCTGGCCTTGAACATTGCCAGGGATGGAGCATTCACAACTTCCTCGGCAACCCATTCCAGAGCCTCACCAGCCTCACAGTAAAGAACTTCCTCCTTATATCCAATCTAAACTTCCCCTGTTTAAGTTTTAACCCGTTACCCCTTGTCCTATCACTACAGTCCCTAATGAAGAGCCCCTCCCAGGCATCCTTATAAGCCCCCTTCAGATACTGGAAGGCTGCTATGAGGTCTCCACACAGCCTTCTCTTCTCCAGGCTGAACAGCCCCAACTTTCTCAGCCTGTCTTCATACGGGAGGTGCTCCAGTCCCCTGATCATTCTCATGGCTCTCCTCTGGACGTGTTCCAACAGATTCATGTCCTTTTTATGTTGAGGACACCAGAACTGCACACAATACTCCAAGTGAGGTCTCACAAGAGCAGAGTAGAGGGGCGGGACCACCTCCTTCAACCTGCTGGTCATGCTCCTTTTGATGCAGCCCAGGATATGGTTGGCTTTCTGGGCTGCAAGCGCACACTGAAGCCAGCTCATGTTCATTTTCTCATTGGCCAACACCCCCAAGTCCTTCTCTGCAGGGCTGCTCTGAATCTCTTCTCTGCCCAGCCTGTAGCTGTGCCTGGGATTGCTCTGACCCAGGTGTAGGACCTTGCACTTGTCATGGTTAAACCTCATGAGGCTGTCATCAGCCCACCTCACAAACGTGTCAAGGTCCCTCTGGATAGCATTCCCTCCCTCCAGCCTACCAACCAAACCAAAATATTAGGTGTGAATGGATCCTCAAGAAGGAAAAGCATTCTATTTGACATGGATAATCACAGACATTTTCTCTTTCTGCAACAGTTCACCATGAAAAAGAAAAAAAGAAAAGCAAACACCTACCTGTATCGAAATCTACTGCCTTTAAAAAATATCTTGCTGCTGGACATGGTCTTGATTTGACTGGATTTTGCATACCTTGAAGAAAAATAACATGTCACATTTTCAGCACAGAAGGAACCTGATAAGCAGAACTGAACAAGGCAAACTACAAGCTTTGTTACTTTTATAACACAAAGTAATATTCAATTTACACAAATTAAAACATAAAGCGCACATATAATAATTCAGATAGCACATAACACTGAATGTAAACCAAGTTGATTACCTGGATAAGAAAGCAAGAAAATTAAATGCAGACACCTGCTGTGTCTCTTGGGATTTTCATTCACAGGATGAAGGAATGACTGTGATAAGCCCCTAGGACAAGTTTGCCCTAACACCACCTTGTTTATGGGAAGATAAGGCTAATTCCACTTTCTCACTAGTAAAATAAACACCTAATAAAGAAGCAGTATGCTTCTCTCCCTAAGTAGTTGCATTTCTTCATACAGTCAACTTCTTAGCAGCCGGTATTATATGCTACTGCTCCTCTGTAATCATGAAGTACAGAGCTACCTTTTATCACAGTCTTTTATCACAAGGATCATGAATGAGTACCTCAGATACACCATCTCCTTGATGTTCTCTGCCTTCAAAGTGGCAAATTGATTTTATATGGAATCTCTCATTCCCAGATAGTAATAGATGACTTCCTATAATCTGTATCTACTTGAAAATAA